TAAATATTTGCTATTACTCAGAGTATGACAGGTAGCTGAAGCAGACTTCCACAAATGAAGATATGTTAGAGAAGTCTCCTTTTTCTGTGTTTTGCAGGTAATGCAGAAGAAAACTTTTTTTTTTCTACCTAAAGAATAGGAGTCCTCAGCTGTGGCAATCTCTGTAAATGAACACTGAGAACTTTAAATTGGTGATCTCCATTTTGGAATTGAAAAGCTTGTAACTATGTGATAAAAACAACACAGCTAGGAAATAAAATACAAATACAGTACTTACATTGTCATCTTTACTTCATTGTGGCTGCTTGTAACTTGCTTTCACATATTTTTGTATCTTTGCAAGAACAACTCCTTGTTGTGGTTCAGCTAACTGTAAATAGAAGAAATTGCAGTCTAGCTGTATTGAAAGAAAAATCTAACTGGTGTTTTAGACAGCAGTCAATAAACTGAAGCAATTTCTAATAATGTAGTATTTTTTTCATAATTGTTCAAAGTTCATAAAAGTGATCTTTAGAATGGAAACCCTTCCCCCAAAGCAATTTCACTTATGAAATCTTTCCTTAAGAAAGGGCTATGACCTATATGAAGCTAATAGTTGAGTTGCTATATTTTTGATAGAACATTATGGAAAAATTGTAAATTACATTATGGTTGTGAGAAAGGCTGTTGTATTTTTAGAGAGGTCAATGTTAAATGGACTGTGGGACAGAAAAACACCTTGCCCTATTTCTGGCATTTAGCAGTGAAAAGAATTTATTTTCTGCACTCCTGCATATTTTTGCTAAATGGATCTCTTGACTTAGACTGGTCGTACTAAGTGCCTTTAAATGTTGTCTCTGTAGACTGGTTTTGTTTTTCATCTACAAAACTAATTGCTTCCAGTAGGAATTCCTTTTAGAAAAGCATGGGGATTTTAAAAGTACATCTTTTATTCTGAAGACTTTTTTTCTTTTTTTTTTTTTCTTTTATTTAAAAAATAATTTTGGTCCTAAACTGCTTATAGCAAACTTTCCTATTGTGGCCTATGAATGAATTGAAAAACTGACTTCACTTAAATAATTTCTCTATAGCCCTTATGGATCTGTATGGTCTTGGAGGTTTGTAATTCCTCAAACAGTATTGCTCATGTTCTTAAAACAGAATTCCCAATTTTTGTTTTCAGTTTACTTGACTGAAACTGAAGTATCTTTGTAGACTTTAAAAAAAAAAAATCTTTCATGGGACTTGTATGTTGGCTTTTTTTCAGTATATCCTGCATTTTCATCATCCAACACCAAGGTAATAGTTTTTATTTTTAGAATTTTTTTTGTATTTGGGTTTTGTCTTGCAAGGGAATGGGGTGTCACAATAAAAATCTCAATGTTTCCTAAATGTTGAGTTTTCCTATTAGTCTTGTGATGTACAGAAACCTACTCATAGAAAACTGACAGAGGACAGTATCTCTTGAAATTATGGTGGGGATAAGTTGCCGTGATAAAACTTATGATAGAAGGTCTCTTAGAAGAATATTTGTTCACTTGTCTATTAAGAGGAGCAGCGTGCATACTTATTCTTGTGTGAGGTATCACAAAAATAGTGGAAAATGGCAGTGGATTCATCTTGTTCCCTCACAAATCATACGTTTAGGTTTTTTCCTTCAGTTCAGAAGGCAAAGTATCTTTGGACTAACTGAATTCTGCTGTTGCTATTTGTTCTGGTGGCTATCTGCTAATTTATAGCTTAGTGTCTATTTATAGTTATAAAGCTATTGCATTAAAGAAGATAACCATGGCTTAATTAAGAGCTATTACTTTAAGGTCTCTTTTGAGAGATCCTGTTGCTTTCCATCTTTCTGAAATTGGAGAATAAATTCTTGGAAGAGCTGAGTTGTAGTGCTTACTTGAAACCTTACTTCTCTTACCCTTGTGGAAAAGGAAGGGAACTGTTCTGAGAGACTAGGAACATTTTGAAAAACTCACTAAATATTGTGCTGACATATGAGGCTTGTGTGCCAAGCTTCTCAGCTGAATTGTCTGGCGACTGACTTTTGCCTGCCACATATTACACAGAGTTTCTGTGAAGTAAAACATAGCCATGGCTAAGAGAAAAATATAAAATCATAGATATAAGTGTATCCTCTGTAGCAACCAATTGCTACAGTTCTATTGATCCCCACTGGTAAAAATTTGGGAATGGATTCTCTTCATTTGCATTCTAACCTTCCAAATCTTAGTATTTAATTTTTCAGGTCCTTTTAAATTTTTCTCCCTCTGTTTACCCAGGAAAGCTAAGTTGTCATTTTAAAGAACATTCGAGGATAACATTAGCGCAATTCCAGGAACTACAGCTGTGATTAAAAATACAAACTGTTGTGAGATTTTTGATGTTGTAGGCTGTTATCGTTACTGTTTCATTTCCTGCTCTGTGTGCTAAAAGCACATGTGGGCAACGATTTTAATGTTGCATTGAGAGAACATGATACTGAGCTGTGTGAACACGTAGCAGGTAATAAAAGGCTGGATCATTTAACAAAGGTTTTGTTTTTTAAAAACAAACATTTATATGATGCCAACCATTTTGCTATTTTTAGCAGCTTGTTCCAGTAATTTAGTTTCACATACATCAAGTGCAAACAGTACTTTCCAGATTACAAGATATTCTGGCTCAGGACTTTCCTTTCTTTTAAGGGGAGCAGGGAGAGGTTGGTTTGTTTATTTATTTCTTTCTTTTTATAATTCCGTGAACAAGTCCAAGAATCTAAGAGGCAAAGTGAAACATCTTAGACTTCACAGTTTTATGATTAATTCAGTGCAAGTCAGTGCTCCTGCTGAAAGGGGCATACTGCTGCTGCTTTTGTGCTGACACAGTGAATCATTGGAGAACTGTTCTGGTTGAACACTAAACAGTCTCTGTCAGGTTAGGGTTCAGCCAGAGCAATTCCTTGTTCCAGCTCATTACATGGTTGCACAAACTATAGTTGTGGACAAAAGTGAAGGTGGGAATGAGCAGTGGCAGTAGCGAGAGCACCAATTTATATGAGATTAAGTTGAAGCCACCACTACTGCATTTCATGCTGACTTGCTTACCTGTAAAGGGCTTTATCACTAATTTCATGTTGTTTATGACAGTAAAAAGGGTAAACTGCTGCAAGTTCTGTAGCTGAAAGTGGTTCAGAAGCTTCACAATGGCTTTGGAGTCATTTTCTTGTTCTTCAGGAGACCTAGACACTGAACACCTGACAAACTGAATAAACCTTTTATTGTTCTGTTGATACAGCATCCATATATTTTAGGCCTGAAAACTCGGTCATGTGAGTAGCTGTCCCATGGCTTTCCTGTTTTCAGGAGAGCCAAACACTTCTGTGTCTCTTCCCAGGATCTCTGTTTGTGGATTGCCCGACAAAAGCTGTTAGCCAAAGTATTTAGAGAACACTGAAGTGATGTTGTGAAAAGCATTGTGGAAAAATATTGCAGAAGAGTCTTTTAAAGGGTGTAGGTAGTCTTCTTTCAGGTTTGAAAGGATTTGAAAAGTTGTCATTTCGGTGTTAGAAAATAAAAAATGGAGTTAGTTGGAGTAGAGAGGTACAACAAATTTGCATGAACGTGTTTCCCTTCCCGTCCCTACTTTCATCGCATGCTACAGTACCTTGCAATATAGTTGTTGGTGCCTAAGTTGCATAATCTTACACTAAGATTTATTAGTAAGCATGCAGGATGAATAACTGATTTTTCCTTCAGCTGAGTACTCAAAACACTTTTAATAACATGTTTTAGGAGTCTTGTAAACTGTGAAGATGGAAAATGCCTTTTCAGTATAATTTCAGTAAGAAAGAGCAGGGTAAGAACAGGAGGAGAAACGAGGTTGCAGGGAACAGGATTATACTGTCTCTGCCAAACCATCTTTTCTGATAGCAGAGGCCAATATTTCTGCAGTTACCAGACTAGGACATTCTAAATACAAGAAACTTTTCAGTTTTGGTGCACTTACTATTTGGTAATACCCATGGACCACCACTCCTTGGTAGGTGGGACCTTGGCAGCTGTGGCAGTCTTGTTTTCAAAGATGGGAACCACACTTCCATTCTTGGTTAGTTTTCTAGATGGGATCCCCAGAAATCTGTTGATGGAAACATGGGGATCTAAAAGAAGGTGGTCCCTAGCTCCCTGAAGGGGTATAACAGTATTAAGGTTTATTGCTTGGCAACTACTGTTTAAATATTTCTCACTCAACTTTTAAAAAGATAGGTATTTCATGAGATCAGGTACTTGAAATTGTACTTGTGATATTTGAGCATAGTCTGTCAGCTAGTTTTGCTCTTAATAGAAACTTGCGTTTCACCGCTTTAAAATCGTATGCTTAGTGAACATCGCTGGCGTTGGGAGAACAACTCTTTCCAGATCTGGAATGTGCAGCTGAGCAGTGATGTGTACTGCCTGATCAGCTGATGAAATGTGGGTTTGGATGTGTAATTTTTGTAAACGACTTCCAGATGTTACAGTTGCCAGCTGAATGTCTCAAGACTGCACTGTTAGGTCTAGGTTATGAAACAAAATGGATGAAATGTGCAGAAGATAAACTAGTGAGCCTATCCATGAAATTGTTCTCTCTCTCTCTCTCTCTCTCCCTCCCCCCCCAAAGAGAGAGAGAAAAAAAGCAGCCCGATTCTGTAGTCAAATTACTCACTAAGCAATGGCAGAAAAATATAGGTGCTTTTAGTTAGGGGTACCTGCATTAACTTATAGCCTGCAAAGAGCTTGAATGGTCTAATAGCTAACACCAAGCAATTTTCTGTGTAGCTGCTGTGTTAGGAGCTTTGAGTTCTTTAACTCACTTAAACTTCTTTGTGTTAAAACATGACTGTTACGGTGCTATAACTGAAATCCAATTACCGACAATACTTATTTGCAAAAATTTCTTTAAAGGTTTTAAGTCCTCATACTTGTTGAGGGAAGGGGTTTAGCTTGAAAGCAGAGTGTTTGATATCTCTCTCTTTATATTCCCCAGGAAGTACTGACATAACCATGATAGAAGACAAAGGTCCACGAGTGGCTGACTATTTTGTAGTGGCAGGGCTCACTGATACAGATACTGCAACTCTCCTGGACCAAGAAATAAGCCGACATGAAACAAAGTCAACTGGTCCAAAGGCTCCAATTACTGACATTGCTGTGATAATTAAATCAGCTGGTGAAACTGTCCCAGAGGGATACACCTGTGTTGAAGCCACCCCTACAGCCCTTCAAGCCAACTTAAACTATGGAAGTCTAAAGAGTCCTGAACTTTTTCTTTGCTACAAGAGAGGCCGGGACAAACCACCTCTTACTGACATCGGGTGAGATTTCTATTACAATTCAGTTCCTCCTTCAATAATGATCAAGTCTTACTCTTAATAGATGATGATGAAAACAAATGTGAGAAAACTTTTAAAAACATATTGTCTTTGAACCTATATTGCGTATTGTGTGTATCTGTCTAGAATTTTCTTCCTGAACTAAGTAGAAAAAAGTGTCAGTCTTCTAGTGAACTTGTCTTTTTAAAATGAATCATAATGTTTTAACTTAAAAAGATATGAAATATATATAGAGAGAGGGAGATGGAGCAAATTAGATATGAGAAATGAAGTTCGCTGCATTTTTATGAAAGGTGAGAGAATAGTACAAAATTAATTTATAGAAATGGTATAGTGCAAATCCAAAAATATAACATGCTTAATCTGAAAGTGATGACTTCAGAAGACAAAAATTATCACTTTGTGGAATTCACTTTAATGCTTAAGGTAAAAGACATCACGTAAAAATGGTAGGACACTGAAACAAAGATCTTAAAAGTATCCACCTAGAATCTTGTAGCCTGCCTTACTGTCAGATCAGAGTATTTGTGAGGTCGCTTACAAGTTCTGACATGATTGGCTGCAAACACTGGATTATGTAGTCTCTTGGTAACTCTAATCATGTTTGTATTTCAAAAAACACGCTCTTTGGTGTCTGAGGCATAAGTTCCTAAAGAGTTACTAGTACTGTGTTTGGAAACTTTAGCTACAGTCAATGCTTTAAGTTCAATGCTTAATAAAGGCAGGGGGCAACCTGGCAGGGAAGCTCTGAGCTAATTTTGTTGCTTATAGGATACTGAGTTTAATGTAAGTATTCAGAACCAAGATCACAAAATCCCCCAAGATCTTGAGGTGGTGAATATTATAGTTTTGTGCTACTAGCATATTGAGGTAATGCTCAACCTGTAATAACTCATGCAGCACTACAGTATTGTCTAAATTGCTCTATATAGCACTTCTACTTCTCTGGTTTGGATAAGGACATTGTAGAATTACTGGGGATGTCATGAGAAAGAGAAAATGGAGCATGGGTGGGGGGAACTGTTACAATGATGGCAAATAAGGAATGTGTGTGTTTTCCCTTATTTAGTTATTAAATAAATAGTAAAGAGTAAAGTAAAAAAACATGCATCTATATGTAAGCTATAATAAGTATAATAAGTTTAGTTAATTTCATTTATAAGTTTAAGCATGTCAGGCACAATGGCCTACATATCCTGCTTTTGACCTACAGTTTGAGTGCCAACCAAGAAGTAGAGTCCAGTCAGGAAGAAACTGATAGTGAAATCTTAGTAATGAAATTAGTTACATGGCAAGATCTTTGCTCTAAGAATTATAGTTCAAGTTGTATAATTAACCCGATACATTCTGATTTCAGTTCATTTTGATCATCTAAGCTATGTTCTAATAAGCTTCTGTGAAACTGTGATTTTTTAAAATAGTCTTTTCCCATGTGTGTGACTGACACTGCAAGATGAGATAACTGTTACAAAGGGATTTGACTGTAGAATTGCAGTCTAAAGTTATTCTTTGAATGATATGTCAAACTTCAGTAAGTTTTAGCAGAAGGAAGAATTTCTAGAGGGAGTGATTCCTCAAAGGGATTCCTAAACCATCAGTCTTCAGCGTGTGCCTTTATGGAAGCGACTCTGCTAGCACATGTTTATTTTCATGTCTCTCACAACTTCAGGACCTTGAATGCTTGGGTAGATTTCATAGGGAATACCTGATAAGCAAAATAGGCAAATAGTTGGCTGACTAAGGGCTTCCTTAACAGAGATGTTTTTTAAAACTATTGGTAGAAAACTGTGGTATTTGGCAAGTAGTATTTATTCTGTATTTTGTTTTATACAGATCTAGTTAGGGTGTCACACCTAACAAATCATGGCAGGCTTTTCTTTCTGAGCAATGATGCATATGAATGTTTTCCCCCTGCTGTTCCTGCTGTTTTGCAGCTACGTGCAAAAGATGGTTAGAGCAAGCTTTCTTTTTTTTTCTTTTTTTTTTTTTTTTGTGAATTTCAGTGTGTTCAAATGAAAGTGGAGTTTGGGCAAGAGATGAATGTACAGTCTGAAGGCTAATTTATGCGGTTCTCTACTCATTTAATTAAAGAACCAAGTGTGAAAGAATATTTTATCTTTGAGCCTTAAATATCCATTAAGTCAGGTGACGTGCTGGGTGGCCTTAGTAGGTAGAGGAAGAGTATATCCCTTGAAAGGGTCAAATCCATAGTCTTGTGTCAAGATTGTTAATATAAAGTTGAGTTATCTTGTACTCTGAGCATTCAGATGATTCTTGATAAATATTTGTGTGTGTATTTCTTTCAGGTCTATTTTTAGGGAAACTAATTAAACAAATACTGTTTGGAGGAAGGGGGGAGATGGGGTATGTTCTACTGATTCTCTGCCATTGTCCTTGTGTTCTGTATTTCTGTGCCCTCCATCCTCTTTCCTTCCTATTCTTCCACTGGTTCTTAAGTTGAAGAGTCTGTAAGCTGCTAGAGTGACTTCCTGCTGCAGGTGCTCACTTCCATATAGTTAGGCCATGTGCTGTGCCTCTGGATGTTGCATTTACTGTGGCTGTTATTGGTTGGAAAAATAAAGATTTGATCCTAGGACAAGATATCTCTAAGGTCCTTTTCCTACGTATAGCTGTAAAATTTAGTATCTTAAGCTTATATGTCTATAAATAATTCAGCTAATAGTCATTCTGTTGCTTTCCTAACCAATATTTTTGCTGATGTTCCAGAAATAGACAAGAACTGAGATTTGAGATTTGTTTTGGTTTAGGTGAGACTTTGAAACAAGATCTCACCTCTCTTTGTTTTAGACTTGAGTTAGGTCTATGGGAGAGCTCCAGCACTTGCTTCTTAAATGGAAGAAAATTTGACAGAAAAATGCTTTTTAAGTGTAAGTGGTTTTGCAATTTGTAACACTTACTGTAGAAAGGACCAAGGAAAGAACATCAGACTTCTTGTCTGAAGCAGAGGTTCTTGTATTACTGAGTAATGCAGAAGTTAGGTAACTTGTATTGTGTAAATAAAGAAATACTGATTTTGGGGCAGGGGGGGAGTAACTAGTATGGGAAGCTTTAGTTTGGTTAGTGGTTCTGCGCCAAGGACCCATCTCATTTTGCATACCTGGTTTCTGAAAGTACACATATCTCTATGATATGTATAATTTTACATATCTGCAGAAGTATTGATTGAACAAATGTTTTTCTTTATTAGAGATGTATTTCAAAAATGAAAGTGAACTCAAATTTCAAAAAGCATAATAGAAACTGGAAGATGTTCTTAACAGCCAGCATCTTCCATTGTTCCTTAAATCCCACCAGTGTGACAATGCAGTTGGGTGTTTGGAACAGCTTAGGATAATAATGATGAAACTAGTCACTTGTATGTTTAGACAAATAATAATAGTGGTAGCAGTAGAAATAAAAGGTAAGTCAATCTTTTCCCTCTGCTTGACCCAGCGGTTCTCCTCTGACCCTCCTACTGCTTAGTATCTTTATTTTAGTTCCTTTATTATTCAATACTTGCATTCTGTCTTCTCTTAAATGACATATGAAGAGTTGTTATAAAGTTACTTTCCATAAGGACTGTGAGAGGCAGAAATGTGGCTGGACCTAGAGAAGTCAAGCTGGAGCACAGCCCCACACGATGTAATTTGCAACCATCCGCGTATTTTGAAATGGTTTTCCAGAAGCAGAGTTTTCTGTGGTTTAAGGTTTTTAACTCAGCAGCAGCAAGGAGGTAGTATTTATATTTTCTAAACTCTGTTATATATTGAAGTATACCTTTAAATCAGTAAAACTGGTCATGAGAGAACTTCCATCTGGAATGTGAAACAGCCTTACAAAGAGATAACAAGATTTTTTTGGTCTTTCTTACAAAGAAAGGACCTAACATCTAGAGGAAACTGTAGGTTACATTTTGCTTGAAATGAAACTTTATTGAATTTGATAGAATAATGTAGTAAATAAGGTCTACTTAGGCTCGAGGCCAAAGTATAAGCTCATAGAAGCAGGAAACAAGTCTTACTCTGATCAGTACTAATTAATCAAAGGCAGACACTGGGAAGTTGAAACAAGTAGGAGTAAACTTACTCTCTCAGGGAGGATTTTGTAAACACAAGGTGTCATGTTAAATATTTCATGCATCACTTGGGAATGTTTTTGTCTGAATCATTAAAATAAATGTTTAATTTGAGTGATCCATGGGTGGTGGTTTTCTTCTGTTTGCTTGTTTTCTTAAATTCAGTACTATGCATGAGGTCAGAAAAAGGTGTGGTTTTAATAAAACTTCTTCTGGTATATATGTAGGGGTGAGGGTTGCTTTCATTTTCTTTTTGCTTTTGATGGGAGGTGACCCCACTGTTACAGTCTTGAACACTGGTCAGCCCCTTAACTCTTAGAAGTATTTGCACAACTGAGAAATTCTTCAGTCTTTAAGTATCTTTCTGAGAATACTTGTAAACTTATTAAATTGAACTGCTGGAATTATCTGATTAATATGGTTTTCCTTCTCAAAAGCTGTCAGCTGACAAATGTTTCTGGAATAACTTTGAATTCTTGCATTTTATTTAAAATACATGAAATTGAAATAAAACGGAACTGAAACTTCCATTGGAGACTGCTCTGTTAATATTCTCTTCTGATTAATGTAAGGCAGTGATGTGAAGAGTTCATGTAAACTCTTTATGCACAATGAAGGTGGCCTGAGAGCTGCTGCCATTGTAGTTGTTGGTTTTGTGTTTGTTTTTTGGTTTTGTTTTTTTTTTTTTTAACTTTATGATGCAGGTAACCCAATAAAAAGAGCAGAATACATGTTCTTCCAGAAGATTATTTAGTTTAGAAGTAATTTGAACAGCATGTACTTTCTCTATCTGTATCTTGAACCAGTAGTTAGTATATTAAAACTAATGTTGCAGCTTGGAAATACTGGTATTAGGCTGGTTTTGAACCTGAGATTACACATTATTTTTAAATGTAGCAAAAGTGTGATGATCAGACTCTTTACAACTGAAACCATTATTGAAGGCAAGGATATTGTCCTCCATGAACTAGCTGAATAAATTTGTATGGCAGCCTGGTAGCTACATCAATTTATTCCCAACTATTGTGATTTCTTGCTTTATTAAACTATTCTAGGACTGTAGTTCACATATATCCTCAATACTATGACAAGATATGCATTTGTTCTGTGGAATCAGAATAAACAGTAATATTTGCATATTCCAGATATATTGCCTGGTTATTTTTTATTTTAAAGTAAAGTTGTGATGGACTACGTGTGGGAAGCTGCAGGTCACAAAATACAAAGTTTTAATGTGTTACCTTTATCCTAAATCTTGCCATGTATTGTAGAGATGAAAACTCATTTGAAGGTGGCAAGTACTTTGTACATACTGCAGAGAATCAAGCAAATGGAACCATTGCTTATTTGGATGTGGAATGGGAGATGAAGCTTGCCCTATCATAGCATCTGTGCATGAAAAATATGCAGTGATGTATGGTTTAACTTCCACATTTCTTCTCATGGTCACGTCCTAATAGCTTTATATTTGGGAAAGATCAGAGTGTAAAGTTTTAGCTCATTTAGCTGCTATGAAGGATCTTTCTTTTTTTGCTAAGAATATGGTGATCTAAACTACTGATCTGGCTAAAAAATCCAGGTACCATCTGAATGTTGCTGTATGGCCATGTAAGATACGTTCTGCTTTCTTGGAGTACAGTCAACTGTAGTTATTATTTCTTCCTTTTCTGTGGAATGGAGTATTATTTTGTCTTTTTTTTTTTTTTTCCCCCCTTGCCTTAAGGAATGTTATTCAAACTATGAATGTAAATTATTACTGGGTTTGGGTTTTTTTTTCTGTAAAAATTCATCTAGGAAGCAGAATTCTGTCTTCTGTTGTTCTTTTCCAACAACATTCCTTAAAAAAAAAAAAAAGCTTGAAATTACTTTCCAGACACTTTAGTGATGGAAATAATTTCTAAGAAATTAGCAAGTATCATATGTGCAAGCAATTTAAAGCTTCCTTTGAATTTAATTTTCATTGATAGTGCATCATTCTTACTAATTCTATAACTAAATGCTTTTCAGTATGGCTTGATTTTATTTTTCCATAACTATGATTTGTTCCCACAGAGATCTCTTATAATATGTAAATATTACTGAACAGTTTCTTTGCCTCAAATCATGCATAATAAAAGACAATGTATAAAATGTACATTAGAACATTGCAATGATGACATAAGGTGCTAACGGATGGACAATTTTTGTGAATTTGTCTAAGTAATTTCATATATATTTGAATGCACATAATATTTTGTTTCCTTCCTGTCTGCAGAGTTCTATATGAAGGGAAGGAACGCATAATTTCAGGCTGCGAGGTGATTCAAGCTACTCCTTATGGTCGCTGCGCTAATGTTAACAACAGTTCAGCTTCTTCTCAACGGATCTTTATCACATATCGAAGGGCTTCTCCAATACGACCTCAAAATTCATTGGCAGTGACCGATATCTGTGTTATTGTTACTAGCAAAGGAGAAACCCCTCCTCATACATTCTGCAAAGTTGATAAGAATTTAAATTGTGGTATGGTGAGTATATAAAGGCTTGAGTCTCCTTTTTTCTTTTTTTTTTTTTTTTTTTTAAAACCCAAGAAACAAACCCAAAGGAGTAGCTCTTTGAACTCTTCTTAGCACTGTTGTAATTGTGTTCTGTGACTACATCATAATTCTTTCATTCTATATACCATGTGTGAGACTTCTTAGGTTATGTTGCTCTGATTTCCTTTGGTGTTAGGAATTTCTTCTTCATACTGATTACTCCCTACTTCAGTTTGCACATTCATGTCTAGGTGCTACTTAGGAATAGTGCAATGGATTTATTTTTTTTTAACACACATGCCTCCTTTGGTGATGCTGACACTTGGAATGAATCATAAACTCTTTTTTCTTAGTTATTAATAATACCTATGTTACTAAGACATGTAAGAATTATAATTACTGCTTACAGTTTCTTCATGTACTTTTTTCCAATCAGTTCACTTTTATTTAGTCTGTTTTGCATTTAGTTTACTCAGGCTGAAATAAGTGATCTTTTTTGAATGGTAGAGTGTATTTAGACAAACTGCAAAAACACTATGTAAATAACCAGTTTATGGAAGTACGATAAAAGCTTCAGGTGATGATGTTTAGAATTTCACTTCCACTGATGAGGTTTCCATAAAAGTCTCCTTTTAAATAACCAAGAAAATGTGAAGCTGCAAATTATTTGCTTCACTTTTCCCTGTTCTTCTGTTGGAATAAGTCAGAGTAGTGTGGTGGTGTGGTTATTTTATGTAAATCCTGTAGTCTCTAAAAAATGTGAGAAGGGTGAATTCTCAATTTCATGATTTACGTGCACTCAGCAGACAACCAGTCATTTTATTCTGTTACACTTTTTATTTAAATGTCTGCTTTGTTTGTAAGTGGGAGTATATTCAAGTACTTATACTTGATTTCTGTGCTGCCTGTTGTAATCTTTGTTGGTTCTAAGATGAACCTTATGTCTTTCAGTGGGGTTCCAGCGTATACCTTTGTTACAAGAAGTCTGTGCCAGCTTCCAACTCTTTAGCATATAAAGCCGGTAAGTAATTTTAGAAGCAGACTGTCTGAACTTACTAACAGAAGGATTTGAAGGCCATGTTGAAATCAAATAATAATTTTAAAAGCTTAAGTGCTGTCTGTCAGAATTCTGTTCCTAGAGCATGTCAGTTGAAATCCACTCCTATAATGCCTTCTTTGCTCTCCTCACTTTTTTCCCCCCCTCCCCAGGAAAAAAAAAAAAAGCGCCTTAATAGAAATAGCAAATAGCTGTATTAATTTAGTTCTTATCATAACAGGTTTGGTGGCTTAGGAGCTTTAGCAGAAAGTTTAGCAAGCATTTCAGATGTAACAAAAGACTTCATGTTTCTTGTGTAAGTGATGATGGAGAAGGAGTAATTAAAAATTCCATTTAACCTTGCTCATACTTCTTTTTATGTCTCACAGCTAATGCAATATTTTTCATTTAATTTGAAAGTTAAATGTGTTTCTTCCCTTCAGTCCACAACTATTCACTTGTTTCTTATTTGAGGAGAGTGAAAAATATTCTGAAAATAAATGACAAAAAGTCTTTTCTTTTAAGTCTGACTTGTGTAAGTTTTTTAATCCATTTCTACAGATTATCTTTTTTTTCTGAAGAAGTCCAAAAAAACTTTCAAAAGAGTTTCTACCGAGCACTAAGTGCACCAAATTCCTTTGAAAGGAGTAAACTACCAAGTAGAAGTGGAAAGCATAGATAAATAAATCAGTGTACCATAAAATAAACTAGATGAACAGCAATTGTAAACCAGTGCTTGTGTGCCTATTTTCTACCAGCAAGAGTTAGATATATTTCTGAAAACTGAATAAACGATTTGTTTAAATTGAACATATTGACTGATTAGCAGAAAATGTGGACAGTCAGCTAGTTCATCCTATTTTCGATGGAGGTATTGCTGCTGTTTTTACAGTAGATAAATTATCACTTTCTTCATAGGAATTTCTTTGTAATAAAATCCATTCCAGTGGCACAGTTAAATAGCACAGGTAATTCCCAACTGGTTTAAAGTAAAAATCTTCACTAATTAGTTTTTACCATGTACTGTTTTTTTGAGCAGTTACCAAAAGAGAGTGCTTCAGTATTCATACATAATTTTTAAATGATTGTTACTTGGATGACTTAGTCTTACTGTCAAATGAGAGACTGTCTTCTTCTGCAGATGTAATCTTCAATTATAAAGTCCAGATAACCAACAGACTTTGCTGTATATTGTGGAAAATATATTGCTTACATTATTTAGGGCTTCCAAAGCAAATGTTCTTACTTCTCCTTCTCCCATTCTGAAGGCTTGATTTTCAGATATCCTCAAGAGAACTATGAGTCATTCCCACTGTCAGAATCTGTACCTCTCTTCTGCCTTCCTATGGGAGCTACTATTGAATGCTGGGACCCTCAAACCAAATACCCGCTACCAGTGTTCTCAACATTTGTACTGACCTGCTCTTCTGCAGAAAAGGTATGGCTCCACACTGTGACTAGTTTTTGCTTTTAGTTCAAATGGCTGCTATGGAGATAAATAGGCATTGTTTCTTCGGTATTTGAGAAATGCTACAAAATAAATTGTTAAATACTTGCCTTATAAAATTGTATTTCTTAAGCCTTCATATAAGACAGAAGTCAACCAAAACAGAAAATAGCTGGAAGAGTATGTGCTGTTTAGTCCCATGTAAGCTGAACCATACACTTTAACAAAAGCAAAACTCACAGCGCATGGATTTCCTTGTTCTTTCAAGTAAGAAGTTTCTGGGAATGGAAACGTAGCCTATATGTTAGAGATGTTTACTTACCACATCTGTTAGCAATGTTTACGTTGTTATGGTTTTCCTATGGTTATGTTAAAAGCCGCTTCTGTGTGAATTTGTGTAATTGGGCTCTGTAGGTATCTATGTGCATTAATAGGAAAATAGTTACCAGAAAACAGCAGGGCATGGAGAGAAAAAGGATGTGCTGAGAGGTAGCATGTGAAAAGCTCTGAAGAACTCATGAGCTCCTGAGACCAGTGATCCTGTTGAATTCACATGAAGTGATAGATTCAGAACACTATCCGTCTGCCGAATCTGTATAAGGCCACCAGCACACACAGGCACCAAAAATGTGTTGCACACGTGTGAGAAGGCAGTGTCTGCTATACACAGACAAAGAATACAGGATTATCGGTACACCTGATGAAGCAAGGGAGCCCTAGTTTGGGGTTGGTCTCCCAGCTGTTGCTTCAGCTTGCCAACTGTGTCTCTGTGTGTGTGAACTGCATGAGAGAATAAGTGATTGTAATGTGTCATTAGCTCTCTGTGACTAATAAACAGCAGTTTGGCTCTATTAGGGATAACAGCTGAACTTCCACACTGCCTCAGTCCCCTATCAGGGAAATTTATATACTTTTCCATTTCCAAACAACAAAAAAAGTCTTTCCTCAACATATTAATACTTCTTTTGCAAGGAGGAATGCAGTAGCTGCCAGTATTTTTCTCAGAGAGAATGTATACTGCGGTATCCATCTTTCCCTGTTCTCCTTTTGCTAAGCTTGCCAGAATAATTCAGTTAATCATGAAACTGACAAATAGGGAAGGAATATTAGAAAAGGTTGGTAGCTGTTTAGCTTGATAAAATTAGTGAAGTCAAAGCTAAAATAATTTTATTGTTTAGTGTGGTAATGATAGGAGAATTTACTGAACACAAGCATTTCATAAGGTTTGGGGTTTTTATTTTTGACCATAACAGTTAATGGATAGGGTTTTGTCCCTATGCATGCAGCATGCAGTTTGATTCCTTTCCTTTCAATTTACTGAGTATGAATACTTTGTTGAGGAAAGTGCAATGAAAAAGAGGAACAGAGGCACAAAGAGTCCAAAGCACTTCATTTATAAGGATACTTTGTGTATGTTACATAAATGAAAAGTTATTTCACAAGCTTCCAGCAAAAGCACTATAGCATGTGTGCAAACACCAAAGACTTAAGGATGCTTTGAAAGTTCTAACCCCATCTCCTGTTAAATACTGGGTCTGCTCAGCTGTTTTTCTTCATCTTTTAGGTTTATGGTGCAGCTATTCAGTTTTATGAGCCTTATCCCCGGGAGCTGCTAACAGAAAAACAACAATTGCAGCTGGGTCTCCTGACAGCTGTAGAGAGGAAAGTGGTTACTTCCAAGTCCATCAATTCCAACAAATGCATCTGCCTTCTCTCACACTGGCCTTTCTTTGAAGCATTTCGAAAATTTCTTATGTTCATCTACAAACTCTCTGTTTCTGGACCTCATCCTCTTCCCATTGAAAAGTATGTAAAAGATTTTTCAAGTTAGTTCAGCTCAGGAAGTCATGTGATTTATACATGTCACACTTACTTAGTTGGTATATTTGCTCCATCCTCTTGCCTGCATTGTGTAGCTTATGTTGTACTGATAGAAATTGTTGCTGCTTCTGTTTAATAGTAGTGGCTCTTGCAGTGCTGGGAAAATGAACTGGATTTTACTGTGGCTTTTCTGTTAGAATATGCCATGCCTATTTACCTTTCTCTTAACTAAGTCAAATACAAAAAATGGCTGAGCTATAAGATACATGCTAATGTTTGCAGTCCTGCATTTTAGGTTAATAAATATAAGCTCAGGGACTCTGTGCATTAGCAATGAACATCTGTGTCTGTTTCCAAGCACTGCAACCAATGCAGATTTTGTGTGTGTGTGTGTGTATGAGAGTGAGTGAGTGAGAGAACTCTGTAGAGGATGCTTTTCATGGTCCTAAAAGTTTGCTGAAATACGATGTTACCTTCAAAACTGTATTAGACATCTGGCCATGAAGTATATAGTTTCTCTTAGCTAAGCCTCATTAGAAACTCTGTAGAATGGGGTTAGGCTGCCTGGAATTTTAAATGGCTTGCCTAGATGCCAGTGTGTTCTTACCTTTTGCATACACATCTGAAGTTGTCAGTATTAATTTTCACACATGAAATGTGAGTGAATGGAGCTTCTTTGTTTCAGTTTGCATAAATAGGCTCTTAAACCTACCAAAACAGTAAATAAATCTTAACAGCCTTTCTAAAATATGGTACCGTAGTAATTCCAAAATGTGATTAACATTGTTTTCAGTCCCTGATTAGTCCCCTGGTGCTGGTTTTCTAACATCTTGTTGTCTTTTCAGGCACATATCCCATTTTATGCACAATATACCTTTCCCTTCACCACAAAGGCCAAGAATTCTTGTGCAGGTAAGCAAAACATTTGCTTCCATTTCTAGTTACAATAATGGCAAACCCTCTTTCTTGCTTTTGAAAGCCTGGTTTCTTCCTTTAGGCTTTTTATTCAGCTTTGAATACCCATCTGCAGGAAGGGAGAGGGGAGGAGATGGATGGGTTGGCCTTCTCTTTCATTGATACAAACCTGGGGTAACTTAGCAAAGGAAACTATTTCAGACTTCAGGTGGTGCAGATGGCAGCAGCATCCTACTTGCACTTTTGAAATTTCTGCCATGTATTACCATTTCGTTCTGTAGGCACCATTTGCATTTCCTCGGGGGGTGGGTGGTGGTGGTGTTTGTTTTCTTTCTCTCACTTGTCCACCCACTACTGTGGGTCAGAGGTTAGTCCTCCGGGGCACTGTCTCTCATGCTTCTCTGTTTAATCACCTAGCAGCAGTCACATGTTCAACACTGAGTCACAGAGAATTTCCTGTAACTTCTGAGAATCGTTTCAGTGACTAATACAAGCTCTGTTGACCTAGTGAACACAAGTCCCAAAGATTGTCTCTGATTTGCGTCTCTTGCATGACATTTGTGACTCTGTCTGCCAGGCAGTTTATGAGACTATGGATATACATTTATATTGGAATATTATACTGTATTACCTTTGGAGTTGTCCATATCAATCACATTCTACTTTATGTGTTTCAGCTTTCTGCCCATGATGCATTAATATTGTCTCAGCCAGTTTCTACACCATTGCCATTAAGGTATCATTATTAATGCTTTAAATGTATACTACTTGAAAAATTCAGAGGCAAATAGGAATGAGTCATAGAAGGAAGCCAAACATTACTGCAATATTATTAGATCTTATAAACAGAAAGCTCAATACGCATTTATAGTATTATACAGTATTGTATTTTTGACATAGACCTGTCCCTTGTGGAAGAATAATATCACTAATTATCCTGAAATAAAGATGAATTGCCAGATTATTGTAGGAACTCTGGAGAAAGAAGAAGTAGGCTGTGAGGAAGAAAATATATGTATTTAAATATCTTGTATTTTCAGAACCTGTGTAGTAAGCACAATTTTTTTTAATAGCATAGATAGACTTTGTTATCTTGTTTTTTTCCCTTTTTGGATCCAAGAGAGACATTTACGTCAAGCAGTTATGTGAAATCAGTCCATGCACAAGTGTGCAAACATTTTGGAAATTCAAAATTATACCTAAAAATTGGTATTTGTGCTTGAAGGTAGATGCAATCTCTGTGGATACAGCCTGCATCTTTTGGGCTACAGCTCCCTATGATTGTGACATGGGGTTTTGTTTGGATGGTTTTGTTGATTTTTGGTTTGTTTTTAAGTTAAAAACCAAAATATTCTCCCTTTTTTACCCCCCCCCCCCACAAGTGTGCAAACATTTTGGAAATTCAAAATTATACCTAAAAATTGGTATTTGTGCTTGAAGGTAGATGCAATCTCTGTGGATACAGCCTGCATCTTTTGGGCTACAGCTCCCTATGATTGTGACATGGGGTTTTTTGTTTGGGGTTTTGTTGATTTTTGGTTTGTTTTTAAGTTAAAAACCAAAATATTCTCCCTTTTTTACACCCCCTCTTCAAGATGTCATTACATACA